AGACGTTCCGGCGGCCGGTCGGCCCTCGCCTCGGGGCACAACCAAATTTCCAACGAACCCATATCCCACCGCCCGTCGTCTTCCCTTTCCATTTTTATCTTTTTCCCGACGAGACGAAAGGAGGAGGAGGCAAATTGCAGCGCGGCGATAACTTGATAATCAAGATTTGTCGATCACAGCGCGACGGCCCGCCTCGGCGCACGCCCACCCACGGTCGGTAATCACGCCGCTGTCTCTCTCGCACGCACGCGGACCGGCCGGCCGGACTGCGAGTGCGAGAGAGACAGACGGCGAGGATGCGTCGCTCACTACTCCACCGCAAGGACGCCGGTGATATCCTTCTGATTGGTTGCTTGCCTCTTTTCGCTTTTCGCACGGCCAATCTACGTAGCCGGCCGCCACTTTGTTGATGAGAATAGACTTGCTTGAGGCCGGATCCGGGCGGGCCTGGCGGGCCACAGTGGGCCGGAAGACCGGCGGAGGCGGCAAAAACTCCAGACGCGTTTCGCGCTCCAGAGTCGGTAAATGGGACTCGAACCGAACGTGTGACCCCACCAATGGATTCCTCGTTCGGAGAGCAATCCATTGGTGGGGTCACACGCTCGGTTAGAGCCCCAGTTAGCGACTCTGGAGCTCAAAACGCGTCTGGAGTTCTGTCCGCCTCCACCGGTCTTCTGGCCCACTGCGCGGGCCGGGCCATCAAGGAAGCGTCCTTGGCGCCGCGGGTCGCCACGGGACGCCCCTCGCCGCGACGGGCCTGGACGGGCACACTGTGGGGCCGCCAGATCGCCAGCCTCAGATTGGGGCGCTCCGAGTCCAGGCAGCCAGGCCGAGCCGAGCCCCCTAGACTCCCCGGCGAGCTGATCCACTACGAGCGGACCACGCCTCCGCCGGTCTTCTGGCCCACTGTGCAGGGCCGCTGGGGACCGCGCTCGCGGACCGGCCCCGGCGGCCCCCGGGCGTCGCGACGCGTCTCACGACACGGACCCGACTTCCGTCGCCGGAGCCGAGCCCGGCCGAGCCCGGCAGAGGCAGAGCCGAGAGGTGGCGTCCGAACCGCCGCGGCCGCCCCGAACGCGGCCGGCCGACAGGTACCCGGCAGGCACTACCCGGCAGGTGTAGCAGTGTAGCCCCAGGTAGACACGAATGTACGATTCGCTGCGAACCGCGAGGCGCAGTCGCGGAGCCCGGCCGGCGGAGCACGGCCAAGCCCTTCATTTCATTGTTTGCCGTTTTATTACTTTCGCGAGTCATTTCCAATCATCCCAAGTCCGGTCGCGAGGCCGTGCCATGAGGCCGAACCGTTCTCTCGCCTTTTGCAAACGGCCGCCTGAGCGCAAAAATCCTAACCAACAACAACAACAACAACAACAGCAGCAAGGAGTAAGTGTCATCGGGTTAACAGCGCTCTGGCATGGCTCTAGCCGCGAGAGGGTGACGAGGGTGACGACGGTGACGGCGGTGCGGGGCGACCTAGAACAAGCCGGCAGTCCGCTAGAGCCGTCCGTCGCCATTTCATTCCCCATTTCACTCGCACCTCCACCTGCTCCACCTCGCCGCCAGAGAGAGAGAGAGAGAGAGAGGAGCGAAAGACACGGAGTGACTGTCACCGCCACAAAAAGGGGCTCAAATAATAAGCCGCCGTTATGGGGCCGTTAGGGGAAGGGGAGGGGGAGGGGGCCTCCACCGGAGTGGGCGTTGGCCCAAAAGCAGAGTAGTAAGCTACAGCAGTGAGCCGCGGGGCTGTGGACCCAAGTGATAAGCACGGCGGATAGGATAGCTGGAACAGCTGTCACCTCACACACGTGCAAACTCACTCACTCACTCACTCACTCACTCACTCACACAACCTTAAACAAGCTCTCAAATATTTCGCTGAGTCGCGTCATTATTACAACTCATACGCCAATCTAGTCGATCTCCTCCCCCCCCCCCAAACCTCCTCCGACAAGAGAGTATGAAAAATTTGTAAGCGTCATCGGTATAGTAACGATAATCACAACACGGGCACCACACCAGACTCCCCTGAAGCGGGCGCGCACTCACACACACTCACACACACACAGAGGTGTCCCAACGAGACCAAACAGTAACTGTGTGTGTGTGCGTCGGCACAACAAAGCCGAGCAGGGAGAGTCGAGGGAACGGTGTACTGCAGACACACTCTCCGAGCAGTGTACACGACGCGGGGCATGAAAGTGTTTTGGAATCCCCCAGCGACGCGAGGGAACGCGAGGAGGACTTGCCTGACCGCGGCAAGCGACCGCGCGGCCACGCCCCAGGCCATTCATTCCGCGAGTATTTAATGACAGCACTGTTTTAAAAAAAATAGTAATTTTAAAATTTACAGAGAAAATTAACGATATTAAAACTAAACAAAAACAACGGCCTGCGAAAAATTGATGATGACGCGAGGGACAGGAAACGACCCGGCTACGCACCACGCCGACCCCGCGGGAGAGCCCGGAAACTACCGGTGACTAACAGTGCCGGAGACTCCAGGAGACTGACAGTGCTGGAGACTCCAGGAGACCAACAGTGCTGGAGACTCCAGGAGACTAACAGTGCCGGAAACTCCAGGAGAGACCAACAGTGACGCCTTCGCGGCTTTACGGCGCAGCATTATCACACAATGCGAAAAACGTGCATAAAAGCGACGCATCCACAATTTGGACGCCGTAAATCTCGCGGCGGCGGTCATTACTTCGTTACGCGGCTATCGATGCAGAACAGCACTGTGCCGCATAAACAGTGTCAGCGTGCCAATTTTTTCTCGACCTGGTTCAATTTTCCCGAGTTTGTTGTTGCTGTTGGCCGGGAACGGAACCGCCATGTTTTCCCGCGCGATTTCCATGCGAGGCTGCTGCGCCTTAGCCTCGGCCTAGGCTCTGTGCCTTATAACAAACGGCGACAGCCTACAACCGCGTTGCGTTGCCTGGCCAATGGCGTGGCGTTCGCGGCGTTCGCGGCGTCTCCTAGTTTACTGCGCGCTGTCCTGCCAGCCCCTCGGCCAGGCCCTGCGCACGGTGTGGAGCACGGAGTGGAGGGCCTCGCCGGGCGTCGAACCGGCGGAGCGGACCGCCACGAACGCGAGAGAGACAGGGCGGCTGCGGCCCCTGCCCTTTATATTAGTATTAGCGAGGGAAAAGTGGCGAGGCCGAGGCGCCCGTTCACTCTAGTCGGCTGGCTGGGGATTGGGGCTCGGGGCTCGGGGCTCGGGGCTCGGGGCTCGGGACTCGGGCTCGGGGCCCCCGCAACGCGCCGCGCCGCCCGGCCAGCCGGGGCGTGTCCAAACCGAACCAAGCCTTGTACGGACCAAAGTAGAAAGCTCGCGCGAAAAAAAAACAAATAAAGGACACACGCGGCGTTATGCCTCCGCGGGGACCGTCCCCGAGCGCAGTGAACCAGAGGACCGGTGGAGGCGGCCAAAACCCCGGACGCGTTTTGAGCTCCAGAGTCGCTAAATAGGGCTCGAACCGATCGTGTGACCCCACCAATGGATTGCTCTCCGAACGAGGAATCCATTGGTGGGGTCACACGTTCGGTTCGAGTCCCTTTTGCAAAGTGCGACGCTCCGGGACGGGCCCCCATCGCCCTGCACTGCGAAGGGCCACGGCGTCGCCGATTACTCTCCGTCTCCCTCACACCTGCACAGGCCGTGCCGCGAGTGCGAGAGAGACAGAGCGAGGCGGTGTCGCGACGGGCTTGGGATGCCGGGGGCCGTTTTTACCACGCTAACAATAGGGCGATATCGGGCCCCCTCCCCCATTCTGCAAAGTCGGCTCAGTGGGCTACTCTCATTCACGGAGGTGCAGGGCAGCGATGCTGCGATCAGAGAGCGAGAGAGAAAGAGAGAGCAGGAAAAAAAGCACGATTTATGGGGATCGGGCTCTTGGCCGCTTCGTCAGTATTCAAGCCCTCTGTGCGGGCATCCCAAAGCGTATGACAAATTGACCAGCGCTGGCGCCAGTGTGCCAGCAAGCGGCCGGCCGAGTGAGTGAGTGAGACGTCCTAACGTTTTGTCTCAGGCCTCCACGGGGAGTCCACCGCGTCCTTTTCTTTCTCCCTTCCTTCTTTCTTTTTCTTTGTCAAACCCACTTGTCAATCGATTAATCGCAAGGTGCGCGGCGCGCGCGGCGAGAGGGCCAAAACAAACGCAAACAAATCCGAGCGCAAAAGACAAAAGGGACAACTCGCTCAAACTTGTCCGACGAGTCGGGGGCCCGAGTAAGCCACGCGCATTCGCCCGACCAAAACGACAACAACAAAACCGATTAAAACAAGAGGACAAAGGGACGGGTGACATTTCGTCACGTCCCGAACTTTATAATGGCGTTCGATTTCGCCACCTGCGGCGCGAACGTGGGGGCGAAAATCATTAGCCACACACGCACACACACAAGCACACACCAGCGCGGTTTAAGTCTCGAGGTTTGTCACGGTGGGGTTTCATTTAAAGGGATGAATGGAACCCCTAGATGAATGGGTGAAGGTCACGGACAGACGGGCAGACAGGCAGACACAGGGAGACAGACGGTTGGGCCTTTCTTCTCGACCGCAGGTGTTAATCCGCTTGTTTCACCGGGCATGGGTGTCACACTAAGCAGACAGACAGACGAGACAGTGGACGGACAGGCGGTAGCGTGGCGGGCAACGTGCACCAACCAGCTTAAGATGTTGCCAGGTGTCATGCCACCTGTTGCACAGGGGTTGTCACAGACCGGCAGAAGGGCGAGCGGACAAGCAGACAGACAGACAGACAGACAGACAGACAGACAGACAGACAGACAGACAGACAGACAGGGAAAGGGCGGGGTGCCAGGAAGGGCTTATCTCCCCGCGCCACCGTGCCCCTCGTGCGTCGAGGTTTCCGGGCCTAGAGGCCCTTCCTGGCGAAAGCAGATAGGGAGGAGAGAGAGGGCGCGGGGACCGCAGGGCACCGCAGGGGAGAGAGAGACATAGACGAAAATGAATAAATGAATGGCTGTATGGTACATCACCGGTATGCGGCGACTGAAGTGAGAGTTTTAATCCACAACGGCGACGTCGATGTACACCATTAAATCCATCCTGGCATGGTAGCTGGTCACTGATCACCACACTGCACTTTGCACACTGCACACTGCTGCTGCACTCACTACTACACTGCACTGCACTTCTCTTCTTCTTGGCCCTCTTACCTGTTGTGGCCATTGCGGCGGCCCGCCATACGCACAGCGCCCACACTGCGGTACGCCCGGCGTGGTCTTCGCGGCTCGCACACCGTCACTATACTAACGCGCCAACGGCCCAACGCTGCGCTGCCCGAGACGGCGGAGGGGACGGCGGCGGTACGGGGGCCGCCGAGACGGCGAGCCCGGAGAGCAACGGCCCCACGCCCCTCCCGCCCCGGCCGCCGCAGCCCCACCCCCACGCCCCCCGCGCCCCGCCCGCCTACCTGGCCGGCCCCCCCACCACCACGCTACCTGGTCGCCTAGCACTGCTAGCACCTAGCAGGCAGCCCGCCGCTGAGCCGGGCCTGCCTCCGCCACTGCAACGCCTCCCACGGCACCAGCAGCGCCGCGACGCCGCGATGCGACGCCCCGCAACGCCCTGCGACGCCCGCCGCGTCGTCTGCAGCCGAGCTTGCGCGGCGTGCGCGTCTCGCACCGCTTGCACCGCTTGCACCACCCGTTCCAGCTTCCACACAATCCACGTCGCCGCCTCGCGACACTCAGAGCGATCCAGAAAGAGAGAGACAGAAAAACGTGAAGCTGTCGCGGCCAGAGCGGAGAGCCGCCACAGGGGCGCCTGACGGCCCGTGAGTGCGAGAGAGAGAGAGAGAGAGAGAGAGAGAGAGAGAGAGAGAGAGAGAGAGAGAGGGGGGGAGGCCCGGAACGACAAAGCGCCGCAAAGCGAAGCGGAGCCGAGCGGGGCGCCCTTCTTAGTGCGGACACACGGCCAGGCATTCTGCCGCGATCGCTGCTCCCAATCATTTCCAATCCAAATTACTTAGGCCCCATGCACGGCCGGGGCGGGGCGGGGCGGGGCGGGGCGCATGCCTTCAGGGACTGCACCGCGGAACACTCCGGACGAAACGTCACGCCCAATCCCATTCCAGAATCCCCACGGCTCCTAAAGAGCAGCACTTGCAAAGGGACGTAAAAGTTAAGAAATCTATTTTAAAAACTAACTTTTCCCGCGCGTGGCGCTGGTAACGCTCGCCGTTCAAGAGACGCGGGCACCCGAAGTCGGAATCCCTGTTCATTAAGAGTCGTTAGCACTCTCCGCTGGTCACGGGCGCGGCGGTGGCGTGGCGGGACACACAACCGCGTACCTTCCACGGGTGTCTGCAATGACATACGCCGTTCTGGCCGCGCCACTGTCCGAATCATCTCGGATAAGGACGAGAAGACAATGCGAGAGAGAGAGAGAGAGAGAGAGGAGAGAGAGAGAGAGAGACGGTAGCGTCATTATGTAAATGCGGTAATTGCAAGGCGTTAATCAAGCCCGATTTCCGCTCGTGACTTAAGGACGTGCAGAGCGGGCGGGGTGCGGTGAGGCGGGGTGGGGTGGGGCGCGGTGGGGCGCGGCGGGGCGAGCGTGCGCGCATGCAGGCACGTGCATCGTGCACTCACACATGCACACACACACGTCTTCCCCGAACTCATTTGCATCAATTTGTCCACAAATAACGCGCGGTCTTTACAACAATGTTGCATTCCGCGCGCCAAAAAATCGAACACTGCACCACCACCCGCGCGCTGCTGCAAAGAACTGAGGAAAAAAGAAGCACTGCCCATTTCTTTGGTGCGAATGGAATGTGAGAAGCGCGTCGCTGAGAGAACACTCACTCTCCCCATACACAAACACTTGCGTCTGTCTGTCTGTCTGTCTGTCCGTCCGTCTGTCCGTCCGTCCCAGCGTCGCACTTGTTGCGAAAGTCACGTGCAACGCAAACACCTGTCGCTGCGTGCTGCGCGCTGCCCCCGTTGCACGAAGACGCGGGGTATTCCTTTGCACGCGGAAACAACAACAAAACAAGTTTGTCGACGCTTTGTGAATCGGATTCGGTGATTCGGCGGTCGCCCGCCTCGCCCCCGGGCCGATAAGACTGACTCCGTCTCTCTCGCACTCACGGGGCGGCCAGCCTGGGTGCGAGAGAGACAGAGCGACGGATAGGGCTCGTGCCGATAGGGCGAAGACCAGAGGGCAAAGGGTTTCAATCGCCCTTTTTTGGCGGCCTCCGGGGCGTGCTGGAGCTCCTGGACACCCTCCGCGACGAGATGGGCCGGCGGTCCCTCGATAAGGCCAAAGGGCGCCACGAACAAGGGTCGGCGTGTCGGGGGCGCCGTTAAAGGGTGTCCACTAATGAGGGCGGCACCCGATGCTCTGTCTCTCTCGCACTCATGGGGCATCCCCTGCAGGTGCGAGAGAGACAGAGCGGTGAATCGGACTGCAAGGCACTCGCGCAGCCTCCGAGCGCACCTGCCCACGGACACGTCCACAGACAATGAAGACGGTGTCCTTGAACCTGGAGGCAGGGACTTTCTTTCGGGTGGCGGGCGGAGTGGTGGGGGTGGCCTGGCGGGGGGAGGATCTCGTCGAGGAAGACGACGGGCAGCATGACGAGCCTTAGGGTGCCTTACCTTGGGGCAGGTGCTCTGCAAACTGAAGTGTGTACATAGTACACTCTTATTAGAGCATGCTTCCAAGTACACTCTTATTTACAGCATACTTGCTAGGCACACGCTAAAATAGAGTGTGCCTGGCAAGTACACGCTAAATAAGTGTGTACCTTCCATGTACACGCTAAAATACACTTGATAAGTCCTATCTAAAAGCATGGGCCAGTTTAAGTGTACTTGCCAGGTACACTCTTATTTAGCGTGTACATGCAATGTACACTCTATGTAAGTGTGTACCTAGCAAGTATGCTGTAAATAAGAGTGTACTTGGAAGCATGCTCTAATAAGAGTGTACTATGTACACACTTCAGTTTGCAGAGTGGACGCCACACCGCGGCGACGGCCTTCGTCGCGATGCGCAGCGCCAGCAGCGCCGCGTCGTTAGCAGTTGGAACCGATTTCGTTTTGCAGCGCAGGAAGCATCTCATGTGTACGCATTAAAAGGCTGAGAGAAAACGCGAGAAAGCGAGGATACGACACCCACACACTTCAGCACTCGCCAGCTCACGCGCACACGCACACACACACACACACACACACACACACACACACACACACACACACACACACACACACACGCACGAGAGCGCGAGTCCTGCTTCCCCCGACGCATCCTTCCCTCCCGCGCGTCCTCGACATTTGTAAAACGACTTTTATGCATCATGCGCAGTTTTTCATAAATAGGCGGCGCGCGGCTCAGGGGCGATTCGAAATGCATCCAGCGTGGATGAGCCGGGCCCCGGGACCACTTCCTGCGAAACGAGAGTGTAACCACCCACGTTTGCCACTGCCATGAGCACTGCACTTATTCGTGTTAAAAAAATGCAAAAAAATAAAACTGCAACAGCAAAAAAAGAAAAGAAAAACTTGGTGCTTTCTTCGGTGCTCGTTTGTTGTTTTTGCTACCGTCCGCCGTGTGCGTCGCCCTGCGGTCTGACGGGCGGGGCGGGGCGGGGCCGGGCTGAGAAAAGAAAACGGTTCCATGGGAAGCGTTATATTCCTGGGCGTCCCTTTCGCACATCGCAGCCACCGCGCACCGCCGCCTTGCCGCCGCCTTGGCGGCACCGCAGCCGCGGCGCCCCGCGCTCCGTCGCTCTGTCTCTCTCGCACGCCCTCGCGGCCTACGGGAAGCCCCTCGAGTGCGAGAGAGACAGAGAGACAGTGCTCGGAGCCGGCCCGCAGACATTTGAATGCCTACAGCCCACCGACTCATTACGGGATCGCCCACTTCTGAAAGCGCCGTGCGGTCAGGGACGAAAAGGGGGAGGGGGGGGGGGGGGGGGCAAAGCCAAACGAACAGACGACGGTCTTTCTTTTCCCGCGCAAATTGAAATCGTGATGAAGAGGCGCCGTTTCGTTTCGTCCGATTGGCCCGGCGCCGCGATTGACCGATAAAGCACTGCTGTGTGTGTGTGTGTGTGTGTGTGTGTCCACCCGCGTGGGCCAGCCCCTCCTCCTCGTAGACACATTGCCGTTGGGTTGCGACTGCTAGCGAAATCAGACCCGCTGACGAGACGAGGTGGCGTTTAGCTTTGTCCGAACACGCATCCTTTCAGTTGAAACTGCTTTTTCGCGCCGTTTTTTCTCCTTCCTTGCTAAATCGGCCGACTTGCTCGCTCCGCTCCGCATCGGCCCGCGTGGACGGCGTGTTGACGCGGAGACTCGCACAGCGTTTTCGTCGCTCTGTCTCTCTCGCACCCCCACGGGGCTACAGCCCACGAGTGAGTGCGAGAGAGACAGAGCGACGACTCTCAGTGTGCTGGATGCTGGCCGCTCCGCCCCTCGCCTTTCTTAGTGTCCGACAGAGGAATGTCCCTGCATGCCAAACGGTGACATAGTGGAACGGCAGGGCCTGTGCGACGCACACAGACACACGCACACGCACACACACACAGACACACGCAGCGTACGCAAAACGGGCGGCGGGAAGTTGGAAAACGGTACCCGTAGGAGGGACGCTATAAGTCCGAGTTATGGAGATGTTGGCAAGGCGGAGAATTCACAAGGAGCGCCCCCCCCCCCTTCCTCTTCCTCTCTTACAGGCAGTCTTATCTTTCTCGCGCTGCCGAGTCACGTCGCTTTGTCTTTGTCGCACTGCCGCTGTCCGCGGGGCCGAAGCGAGTGCGACAGAGACAGACTGAGCGGTGCGCCGCGGACTTGCCTTATCGTAGCGACGCCCTCGATGCAAAAATACCGTAAATATGGAACGAGTGAGGAAAATAGCGCTGCTCAAGAGCAAATAATTTCCACGAGAAAAGGCCGTGCCCCGGACGGTTCCTCGGGGGGGGGGGGGGGGGGGGCGTGTCCACTCACCAAATAATAAAAGGGGAGGGGGCGGTTACTTATGGTGGCTGAGTCTCCCTCTCACTCAGGAGTGAGAGGGGGGGGGGGGGGGGGGGGAAGCAGTGACACGCTGACGTCAGCGTGTGTGCCGTTCCCATACGGACACCGATTCCGAACGACCGTCTCGTCGCGCTGTCTCTCTCGCACCCACACGGGACGCCCCATGGGTGCGAGAGAGACAGCGGCGGAGACGACTGCCAGCCTGGTGGCGGCCTGGCGCACGCCCACTGCCAACAAGGCCGCCG